GAACAAGATGAGCACCAGGGCCCAGGGAGCGGGAGTCACACAGGGTGTGAGAGGCGTGTAGAAGCGTCCAGGAGACAGACAGACGGACCCGGACCCTGGATCCGGGGAGGGAGAGCCTCAGAGAGGAGCGGGAGCATGACAGATGCAGAAGTTCGGACATCGGACATGGCCAGGCGGGATGCCCACGGGGACAGCAGGCTCCTGCCTACGTCAGGCTCTGGGAGCCAGCCAGGAGCACCCAGAGCGGCATCTCACTGCACTTCCTAGCGCCAAGACCCGCCCCCTTCGCTATTCACTGCAGCAAACGCTCCCCACCTGCCTCACCTCCCCTGGAAGCCACCTGAAGTCCAGCTTCGTTGCCGTGTAGTTTATTCTCAACATCGGCCAGGACTTCAGGAAGGGACCAGAAACATGTTCGGTAAGAAAAGCATCTTTCATTTCCTCCCTCCACAAATCAATGAGGTCTCCATTCCGAGTTTACCAAACATCTTGCCAAGGAACTCAGCACTTCCAGCAGCGAGCAGGGAGATCTTCATGGATTTGTGTGCGGCCCTCTCGATACCGGGGGGAAGGATGGAGCCAAAGGCCGCACAGCAGTGTTTTCACGGAGACACCAGTGAGTGTGATTTATGATTATCATTCAATGGGGCTGGAGCGATAGCACAGCAGTAGGGCATTTGCCTTGCACGCAGCCAACATGGCCGACCCGAGTTCGATTCCTCCACCCCTCTCGGAGAGCCCGGCAAGCTGCCGAGAGTATCTCGCCCGCACGGCAGAGCCTGGCAAGCCACCCGTGATGTATTCGATATGCCAGACACAGTAACAACAAAGTCTCCAGTGGAGACGTTACTGGGCCCGCTCGAGCAAATCGATGAACAACGGGAGGACAGTGACAGTGACAGTGATTCATTGGGGTTTATCAAAACATCTGGCAATGAATCTCCAAGTACGGATCTGCGATCTGAAACGCTAGAAGTTTGATTTTGTTGTTTTCGGATTGTTAATTATGCCCATCACATAATTAATTTCTAGGGAGCAGATTGTTTTCTAGGTTTGCTAATCTTGTAGATTTTGTAGAGGCAGCGTCATCCTCAGTAAATGTCAACTTCTAAAATGGACTGAAAAGCACGTTCAGTGTATTTGTAATATTTTAACTACGAAGCAGTTTTTTTTCTGCAAGCTATTGACAAACACGGGCAAAACCAATTTTCGTTAGTAGCTCAAATTTGTGCGTTTTCCAACGTATACAAAGGATCTCAGACAAATTTTGTTAATCTCAAGAAGAGAGAAGTGTCTCTAGCCTTGGGCTCCTACCAGCCGTCCCCAGGCCCAGACACTGGACGCTGAGAGGGACCCCGCTTTGCTCTGACTCTCGTTCTGCCCCAGGAAGTTCCGCTCCATATTAGCTACTTAATTCTATAAGCACAGTCTCAACTTCCTTCTGGTCAGGTAAAACGTCCCAGGGTTACTCCATCAAACGAAAGCTACCCCTGACAGTGTCGGTGGAGAACAGGAAGGCGGGCTTCTTGGTTCTCCCGTTTTCCCCCCGCTTGGCTGCCTGTGAAGTGGCTCTTAGAAGGGTCAGTTCCACAGTCAACATCACTCACCAACTGTCGTTTCTACATAGACACCAGACCTCCAGCCGAGGTGATTTCCAACTATATTTCATGGAGTTACATGTCTCTGGCTCCTCTACTGCTGCCCCAACTGAGTCAGGAAGCTCCGGCCTCTCACACTCCTCAGGTGATGTATTTTGTCACCTATAGTTTCACCGGCTGTCAGTTTTTAATGGGCTGATTATTTTTGTCTCTAAGATGTGGATCGTTAAAAGGGAGAGATGGTGGCATTGATGTCTAAGTTAGTGTCTGTGAGCTCACCCAGGGAGCCGTGTGCTCCCAGACTTCTGTGGTCTGCCTCACAGGGTCTCTGGGGAGAGTGAACCATAGGCGCCTTCAAGACTCTTCCTGGGAGAGTGAACAGCTGCCCCATGACTGCAGCCAAATTGGGATGAAATGGGGCACTGTGGCCTCAGTGATGTTTTCAGTGGAATCAGGACCCTGAATGTACGTTTGATGTCACTGGTCACACAGATGTTGGAGTGCACGGTGCATATATGTGTTTGTGTGTGAGAAAAAATATGTGAGAGAGTGAGACAAAGTTATGTGTGTATGTGTGGTACAGTGTGTGAGAGTATTGTGAGTGTGTAAGAGAGAGTATGTGTGTGTGGCACAGTGAAAGTCTGCGTGTGAGTGTGGAAGAGAATGTCTGTGTGTGACACAGTACCTGAGAGAGTCTGTGTTTGAGAGAAAAATTATGTGTGTGACTGTGAGAGAGAATGTATGTGTATGTGTGCCATTGTGAGAGAATCCTTGTGTGAGAAAGTCTGTGAGTGTGTGCATGTAAGAGATTGTGTGAGAGTCTCTGTATGGGAGAGAGATTCCTGTGAGAGTGTAGATGTGAGAGGCTCTATGTGAAAGAACCTCTGTATGAGTCTGTGTGGGAGAGAGAATGTGTAAGAGAGATTGTGTGTGAGTATATGAGAGAGAGAGAGAGAGAGAGAGAGAGAGAGATGTATGAGGCAGTGTGTGTGTGTGTGTGTGTGCGTGTGTGATGGAACAACTAGATACAAGTCTGTGTGTTGAGAAAGTCTGCTGAAGACTGTGAGTGTGTGCATGGAAAAGAGATCGTGTGCGAGGGTCTGTGTGAGTTTGTGTGTATTGCATATGTGTGCATGTGTCATTCTGTGTGAGTCTGTACGTGCATGTGTGTGAGAATCTGAGTTTGTGTGTGTGCATGTGTTTGCATGTGTGTATGTGTGCGTGTGTGCATGTGTGTGCTTGTGTGTTTGTGTGTACATGTGGGTGTGAGTCTGTATGTGTGCGTGTATGAGAGTCTGCATGTGAGTTTGTGTGTGTGCATGTGTGCATGTTTGTGCGTGTGTGCGTGTGAGTCGGGTAAAGGTATGCGATCGAGACAGAGATGCAGCTACCAGCAGTCCTGTAGGTTCGGCCCAATAAATCGAATTCTGAAATCTGCCTGGGAGAGACTCAGGCGACAGCGATGCCTGGACCCCCCGGGCCCTCGTGTCCCTCCCTGCCGGCCGCTCCCTCTCACTGCTGTGGCCTGGGGACCCTCCCACCTGCTCCTGGTTAGACAGGAGGGAGACAGAATCCGCGTGTGGGTTCAGAGTGGGACGCTGGCAAGCCCCCGCCCGGAGCTCCACGCCCTAACAACCCCCCACGGGACTAGCTCCTTCGGGGAGAACATGACAGCACCGAGGTGAAGGGCAGGGTGCCCAGGTAGGGGCCCCCAGGGGCTCACCTTCCCCAGGCTCAAGTCCCTAGACAGGGTCTGCACGTGCTTCTCCATCTTGCTACATACAAGGGAATCGCCCGTGAACGGAATCATGAGGGTCACGTGCCGTCAGGACCCCGGGGCCAGGCTGAACAGACGAAGCTCATTTACGCGGATTTGTGAGAGATGCTCACAACCTCTGCGGCTTTAGTGTGTAAGAAGTGTTCTCAATGACAGGAATTCATATTTCATGAAGCTAAATGAGATAGTATAAGCTATTCATTTTCTTTTCAGATGTGGCTGTTCTGATTAAATCGACTCGTTCTCAACTTTCTTATGTTTTTGTAAACTGATTTCTGAGAAGTCTTTTCTTTTCTTTCTTTTTTTCTTTTTGGGTCACACCCGGTGATAGTCAGGGCTGACTCCTGGCTCTGCACTCAGGAATGACTCCTGGCGGTGCTCAGGGGTCCACATGGGATGCTGGGAATCCAACCTCGGTCCAACGCCCTACCCACTGTACTATCGCTTCAAGCCCTCTGAGAAGTTTTTCAAATGCTTCAGTTCCTCCCATCTTTAAGGCTGGGCCAAGAACAAGAACTGAAACCTGAGTCCCATTTCCCATTCTTGAATAACTTATTTAGTATCATATTTAAAATGGAGTCAAAGGACAGTCTCATTAGTGAAAGCAGTTTAGAGATCGATTCTCTAAGAAGACATGATAATCTCTAACACGTGTGCATCTAACATCCGAGCATCAAGCTATGCAGAATAAAATTTAAAAACATTGAAACAAACAAATAAATTTAAATGTCCACTGTATATGACAAATACATTTCTGTGGCTTCATTTTATAACTTCCCAAAGTAGGAATATTGGCTTTTTGGTGACAAGAGACACAATTATTTTAAATCAAGTTATAGACTTCTGAAACAGGCTAGACTATTCCTTTTCATGTTACCTGCCTTGTTGAAAGAATGAGATGCTAAAACTATAATATACATATATATAATTTCTGCAAATGTGACTTACAATAAAATGAAGAGCTGGATGCCTTCACGTTAAAATAAAGTGGCATCAGCTTGGACAGACCCTTTGGAATCACATTCCACGAGCACTGCACACACAGGAGGTCTCCGAGACACAGGGAGGGGGATCCTGACCCCCGAAAGTCCAGGGGTCTCTGGCCGGGAAAGGGCCGGACTTAGGAAGAGCGCCATTTGGACAGTTCACAACTCAGTGGGAACTTTCAGGGGACAGTCCCTGTGTGAGACAGAGACCTCAGGGGAAGTGCCCAGGAGGAGCCTCTGGTGGGAAGGAAGCCCGAGAGCTGGCGTGAGAGACCCCCAGGGCCCCGTGGGAGTCCCCCTCACCTGGAGGCTCTGTCCAGAATTTGGGTGCAGGTAGTTAAAGGCTTAACAATGAACTCCAAATATCACCCAAAGGAAAACAGTATTGGGCATATCCCAGGCAAAATCGCAGAGACCTGGCCAGCAGGGAGAGGGAGCGACCCCCTGTCCCCCCACCCCCAGTAACTATCCAAACGGCGCTCTTGGAGGGGCTGGCCCTCTGCCCCAGGCACTGCCTAGTGAGCCTGACCCCACCGAGCCGCGTGCCGGGCCACTGCTCCGAGAGGAGGCTGTGTCCCGGGCACCCACCCCAGCCTTTCCTGGGCAACGGGCGAGGGCGGGAAAACCAAACAGCCTTACTTTCCCAGGGCGAAGCACTCCAGCTTCACAGAAGACTCCTTGGCCGCCTCTCTCCTCTCAGGAAAACGCACTTCAATCTTCGGTTCGTACTCCCCCATCACGCCTGTGAAGCAGCAAACCTCAGCAGAGAAGCTTCCCAGGCCCAGGCCCGGCTCCTGTTCACCCTGTGATGAGCAGCGCCCTCTGCCTGGTGCGCAGGGCGGAGCTGATCCCCAGCTGACTCTCGGCTCCCAGGAGCCAGGATGGGCCCTAAATGGTCCTTCCCCACACCTGTCCCTTAAGGAGGATCCTGCTCACACGGGGGGCGGACAGGACCGGGTTCTAGATGCATCTGTGTTCGTGAAGGGGTTTTCTCCAGACCGCTGTGGGGTCTCACCTTGGGGGCCCTGGGGCCGTCAGCAGCTCCACCTACAAGGAGCAAGGCTCTCTCAAGAGCTAGAGCAGCACTCAGGGTCTGAGACGCGCCGGCCCCAGAAGCCCAGGAGCTGGGGGCTGCCTGCCAATTTGCCGGCACCCGCTGCCAGAACATGCCCCTCCCTGCAGACCTGGGAGCTGGCCCCCGGGATTTCCAGCACGGACATGGAGCCCAGCAGGGGGGCTTCAGAGGAAGGGGGACCGAGGCCCCCAGCCACAGCCCATGTGCTCAGCGCATCAGGGTTGGACGGGAAGGGCCGAGCCTGGAAGAGCGTGATTCTCGGCACGTGTCTCATGGATCTCAGACGCCTGGGGGCAGGGCCCTCGCCTCACGGTGCCCCCTCTCACCATCCGTGCGCCGCACCAGGGGTGTCGGGGGGCCCTGCACACTCCTCCGGGCCTCGGCGTTGGTGACGAAGCAGGTGTAGTTGCCCACATCGGACGGCTCCATCTTGGCGATGTACAAGTTCCCCGTCTCCTGGGACACAAACCTCCTGTTGTCCTCTTGGACGTGCAGTGGGCTGTCATTGAAGGTCCAGGCGTACGAGAGGTCTGAAAAAGAAGATGAGAGATCCTGGTCACTGCAGGGACAACTGCAACTCAGTGTGCCGCTGCACGAATCAGGAGCCAGAATCTGGAGCCACCCGAGTGCCCGAGGACAGACTGGGTAAGGAAACTCTGGCACATCTACACAGTGGAATACTATGCACCAGGGAAAGTGAGGCCACGCAACTGGCTTATCAGTGGATGGACAGGGGAGTATCATGCTGAGTGAAATGAACCAGAAGGAGAGGGACGGGCAGAGAATGACGCACCCATTGGGGGGATATCAAAGAAGATAGTGTGAGACGAACACCCAGGGACAGTAGGAGCAAGGGCGGGGGCGGGGGGTTGGCCCATGGTTGGAAGCCTGCCTCGAGGCCTGGGGGAGAGGGTGGCTGGGACAGAGAAGGGACCACCGTGACAAAGCCAGTTGGGAATGGTCCCTCTGGATAAGAACCGCGGGCTGAAAGTAGGTAAAGGAACAAGCATGATAAGGTTTCAGTACCTGCATAGCAGACCATAATGCACAAAAGGAGAGAGAGGGAGGGGAGGGAGGGAGGGAGGGAGGGAGGGAGATGAAGATAAAAAGTGTCTGTCACAGAGGCAGGTTGGGCAGGAGGGGGCAGAAGGGAGGAGGAGGAGGGAACCTGGGGACGCTGGTGCTGGGAAATGTTTCCGGGTGGAGGGACGGGTGCTGGAACTCGTAGGACTGAAACCCAGTCATGGACTGCTTTGTAACTGTATCTCACGGTGAGTGTTTTTTTAAATAAAAGAATAAAATACACAGAAATGGTAACTCTTATTATATGATTTCTGTTAAAATGTAAATGACGGGAGAAAAGTAAAACGACAATCTCTCTTTGTATAGAAAGAAAGAAAGAAAGAAAGAAAGAAAGAAAGAAAGAAAGAAAGGGAAAGAAAAAAGAAAAGAAGAAAGGTATGAAGGAAAGAAAAAGAAAGAAAGAAAGAAGGAAAGAAAGAAAGAAAAAAGAAGTAAAGAAGAAAGGTAGGAAGGAGAGAAAGAAAGAAAGAAAGAAAGAAGGAAAGAAGGAAAGGAAGGAAGGAAGAGAGAGAAAGGAAAGAGAGAGAGAGAGAAAGAAAGAAAGAAAGAGAAAGAAAAAAGAAAAGAAGAAAGGTATGAAGAAAAGAAAAGGAAAGAAGGAAAGAAAAAAGAAGTAAAGAAGAAAGGTAGGAAGGAAAGAAAGAGAAAGAAAGAAAGAGAGAGAGAAGGAAAGGAGAGAGAAAGAAAGAAGGAAGGAAGGAAGGAGAGAGAGAAGAGAGAGGAGAGAAAAAGAAAGAGAGAAAGAAAGAAAGAAGAGAAAGAAATAAAGAAAGAAGAGAGAAAAATAAGAAAGAAAGAAAGAAAGAAAGAAAGAAAGAAGGAAGGAAGGAAAGAAGGAAGGAAAGAAAGAAAAACAAAGAAAGAAGGGAGGAAGGAAAGAAGGGAAGAAAGAAGAGAAAGGAAAGCTCAAACCCTCACACATTACACTGGCCGCTTCCCCGGGTCTAGAGTGAGTCTGTGTCCCTCTCCCAGACTGCTGCTGCCCAGCCCACAGGAGTGGACACACCTCCCACTCACTCTAGCCCAGCTGGAGGACTAGTGTCCTGGTCATCCTGCTCAGGACTGGCCTCGGGGGAGAAGGGGTAGACATGACCCCTGAGGGGAGCAGCGATGGACTAGGAAGAAGCTTCCAGCATGCAGAGCCGTTGGCAGAGGCAGCCAAGTTCCTCCAGGGCAGGGGAGGCAGGGGCTGTCGGGAAAACATCTCCCTTAAACACTTGTGCTCACGGCCGCTGCCGTCCGTCTTGGAAAGAACCCACTGGGCTCTCACAGACAGTCGGGAAACCTGCTAGGCGGAGGACTTAAACTCTGCAGAGAAAAGCCTGAGCTTGGCAGTGGACCCCAGTCGCGTGCTCTGGCCGGGCAGCAGCGGGCGGGGCGTGGGGAGGGCGCTGGCCCATGTCAGCTCTGACCAGCAGGGAAGCAGGAGCCTTGTCCAGACAGAGGGAAGACCCGAGAGAAAGAGCCGGTCCCCTGCGTCTGGTGGACACGCACTCCTGCAGCTCAAGCCCGGCACACCTCTTCCTCCTTCCTCAGCATCCCCGGCTCCAGGATCCGTTGCGCCCTCCCTCTGTCCAGGTCTGCCATCAGCCTTCTGTGGACATGGTACACGTCAAACACGCGGAGGCCGCACGTCTGTGTCTCTGCCCCCTGCCGTGATCCACCGTCTCCCCCAGCACTGAAGCCAAGACGCGTCCCTGTTGTCTCGTGAATGTCTGGCGCTCTCTCAGGGAGGCTGTTTTAACTGCTCTTCAGTTTCTCTCACTTTGACCATTTCCACCAGGATTTTAATTTCATGAAAACAGATTCAAACAGGAGATACCCGGGCTGGAGCGATAGCACAGAGGGGAGGGCCTTTTCCTTGCACACGGCGGACCCGGGTTCGATTCCCAACATCCTATATGGTCCCCTGAGCACCACCAGGAGTAATTCCTGAGTGCAGAGTCAGGAGGAACCCCTGTGCATCGCCAAGGTCTATTTTTAAAAAAAAAAATTTAATGCTCATGTGGCTGGAGCGATAGCACAGCGGGTAGGGCGTTCGCCTTACAAGCGGCCAACATGGCCGACCCGAGTTCGATTCCTCCGTCCCTCTCGGAGAGCCCGGCAAGCTACCGAGAGTATTCGATATGCCAGACACAGTAACAACAAAGTCTCCAATGGAGACGTTACTGGGCCCGCTCGAGCAAATCGACGATCAACGGGAGGGCCTTTACCTTTTAATGCTCATGTAGTTGTGACTCTTCAACTTCTTGTGTATATCCCAATTGCATGAGCTCTTAGGTGTAGAGAAAATGCTTTTATAGGACTATGGGCATTTCATCCTTGCTGGATTTATTCTAGGAGTGAGTTCTTAGTTGTATTTAACTTTGTTAGAAACAGCAGAAACATTCTTCAAAGAGTCTTTTTCCCCATCGCCTGCAAGAGGTGAGGGGAAGTTGGCTCTCCGCTTGCAGAGTTCTGTGCACTCCATGTTTATCCCCCAGGATCTATTCTGAGGGTTGAGGCTGGGCGTGTGCCTCCAGCTGTCTCCTGGAAACCTGTGTCACTTGGGAAGGAGCAGAAGGAACTGCGTCAAACAGGGTGTTGCTTTAGGTGAAAACATCTCCAGTGTTGCATTGGGCAAGGAGGTGAAGGGACACCCACACAAATGATCAAGTGGGGAGACAGAAGAGGCTCTGGGACCAGGAGACGCCATCCGCGGCCCACGGCCCGGACCTCAGTTCTCTGGAGGATGAAGAAGACACCTATGGACACCGCCTCTGTGTCCAGCTGATCCAGAGCCAAGCCTGGGGCAGGCAGCGAGGGCGTGGGGAGGCAGAGCCAAGGAGGCGAGGCTTCCTGCAGAGCTGGCCTGCCCCTCCTCCCACCAGCCCCTCCCCGCCACCTGCAGGATGGAATATGCCCTTCGACGCCCCAGAGATCTCTGGCCGTAGCCAGCAGGAACGAGAGCCCTGAGCTGCCCGTCCAACGCTACTGACTCGTCCTTCCTCTGCGACACCTTCCAAGGTCCCCCAGCAAGGTGCTGGCCAGTGCTGGGCACCAGGTCACCCACCAGCGCCTCCCCCTATTATTGCATGAGAGAGGAAAGTCGGACCAGGACCTGGGGTTGCCGCCTCCAGGGAGACCGCCGGACAGGGCTGGCCCTCGGCCCTGTGGCTCACAGGAACCCGGGGATCACTCCCCCGACTCCCAAAGCAGGGGGCAGCTGCTCACCCTCCTTCCCTGCGGCCTCCTTGCATGGCCGTTGGGACTCGCCCCTCCGACCCGCTTCCTGCTCAGGCCACAGCTCTGTGGATGTGGGTGTAGATGGATTTTAATGGGGAAAGATGGAAAAATGCACCTTGCAAATTGGAAGTTTAAAGTCTTTCCCATTTGGCTTTTCTTAATTAAATGTATAATTCATGAGCCACTTAGGTGGAAGCCACTGAATTTTTAAATATTCCCTCCGCCTTCTCTGACACTCATTTGTTATTCATGAAGGTGACGCATTTTCCAGGGGTGACTCAGCAGTGCCCAGGCCTGGATGACAGTTGGTCTCCGGAAGTAGCCACAGGGCTCCCGGAACACCCTGGAATTGGACATCACACACACGGGGCACGGGGAGAGCCCAGGGCCACCCCTGCTCGGCAGCACCTCCGACTCTGCTTCCCGGAGTGTGTGGTTCTGTGTGACGACTACAGACCCCTCACTGGTGCCTGGACTGGGACACAAACACAGGAGGGGCTCTAGTGTACCCATTGCACGGATTGTACTTCTCATACATGGGGAATCATGGAGCTTGTTTGCGGTGGACATGGAGAGTGTCCAGCTTCACTCAGCCCTGGTAGGGGAGTTTGTCATGAAAGATAAACCAGCAGGACAGAGGATATGGAGTGTAGGGGTCAGTCCTTCTCGGGGGAGAGAGTCCTTCCCACAGGGACGCAGACCACACAGGGGAGACGGTCCCTCTCAAGGGAGACTGTCCTTCTTGCAGGAGGGAGAGACAGTCCTTCTCATGTGGAGACGGTCACTTTCAAGGGGAAGACAGCCCTCAGGGGAGACGGTCCTCATCAGAGAGCCAGTCCCCGCGGGAAGACAGAACTTCTCATGGCGGAGACATTCCTTTTCGTGGGTGAGACAGTCTGTCTTGCAGGGGAGATAGTCCTTTTCATGGTGACATAGTCTGTCTGTCTTCTGAGGAAGACAGTCCTTTTATGAGGAGACATTCCTTCTCGTGACAGAGACAATTTTATTCACGAAGGACACAGTCTTTCTCCTGGAGAGATAGTCCTCATGGCTGATGGTCCTTCTGGGAAGGCGTCCTTCTCATGGCTGAGACAGTCCTCATGAGGAAGACCATCCTCACAGCGAGATAATCCTTGACGGGCAGACAGTCCTTCTCGTGAGGAGACAGTCCTTGCCACAGAGAGATAAGCCTTCTCAACGAGGAGACAGCCTGTCTCATGGGGGAGACAGTCCTTCTCAGTGTGATAGTCCTTTCCCCAGGAGGCCGCCCTTCTCAAGGGGACAGTCCTAAGCATTGGCAGGCTCCGTACCCGGGAGTGGGCATGCCCCGACCCCGACAGTGCTGACGACCACCAGCAGGATCCTCTGAGGTGTGTAACGGAAGCAACAGAAGAGATCGCCTCTCCCTGGCTGGCCCTGTGAGGTCTGCCATGATTGATGGCTGTCACCAGTCCTCTGTGGATCCCCTGGGAGGCCCTGTGTGACCAGCAGGAGATGCAGCATGGGACCAGCTCTGCAGGGGGTCTGCATGGCCCTCACAGGACCCCTCAGCAGGGCCTTGGGCTCCCACGGTGCCTGCTCTGGGCGGATGCCACTCAGTGGCCCGTGGGGACCCCTACAGAACACCCCAACATGGGAACCTCCAAATGGTACCCTCCCACAGGACACCCCTACACAGCAGCCCCACATGGAAACCCCACAGGGCACCCCCACAGGACACCTCTGCCAAGGGTCAATGGCCATGAGCTGTGGTGCCTATCGGTCCTGTCGGTCAGGCAGGGCTCAGTGGACGTGGTTAAGACACTTCTTAGACCCCTGCAGGCCGCTGTCTCTCGGGCTCCTGACACCTCCCAGGCTATATCCACAGCACAGGGGCCCAGGTGGGGGCGGGAGAAGGGACAGACACTCCCTCTTGGGGGACATCCAACTGCGCGTCCCTGAGGTCACAATTCTGCTTCTCACTGATGGTTCTGACCCCACAGTCTCAGCGGTACCTTCCTGCTGTGCGGGATGACTCCCAGAGCCAAAATTTCCACTGACGGGGCAGCCTGGGACGGTCCCAGACAACGCTCCAACTCGGCCTCCACAAAATCATGACTGAGGGCTGCAGGATCAGACACTGCTTTACTCCGGAACAGGCAAGACTGTTCTGTAGAGGGTTGGTGACGGCCATCAACCATGGCAGACCTCAGAGGTTTGGGGACGGCCACCAATCATTGCAGACTCCATAGGGAACCGTCGGTGATGGTCATCAATCATGGCAGACCCCACAGGACTGGGGATGGCCGTCACTCATGGTAGATGCCACAGGATGGTGACGGCCATCAATCATGGCAAACCCCCAGAAGATTGGTGACAGCCATCAATCATGACAGACCCCACAGAGACAGTGACGGCCATCAATCATGGCAGACCCCCAGAGGACTGGTGACAGCCGTCAATCATGGCAGACCTCACAGGGTCAGTGATGGCCATCAATCATGGCAAACCCCGTAGGGACAGTGACAGTCATTAATTATGGCAGAATACCCTAAGGGCCAGTGGCAGTGGCTCCTGGCTGACCTCCAAGCATTCCTGGACATTGTCCAGGTTCACCATGGGGGTGAGTCTCAGGGCCTCAGCACCAAGACCTGGGCCAAGCAACGTGCCCCAGAGAGCAGGTGAGACCTCCGGGGACCCCTGGAGGGCACTGAGGGGCCGGGGTAAGAGCGAAGGGCCCTGGGTGAAGCCTGACCACACAGGACGGGTGCAGGGAGGATCTGGTCCTCGCCACAGGCTGGCTCCAGCACGAGGCCCAGCCCGGCTGTCTCAGCCTCAGGCATGATTTCACAGAAGCGTCTGCCACCCCTTAGCCCTTCCATTTCTAAGCGAGGCGCTGACCAACGGTCACTTTTCTCTCCTCCTTTTGTGAACCAGTGGAAAATGGTCTCTCATGGTCTTCAACCAGCTGGAGCAGAGAGCGACCAAGAGCCAGTGCTGGCTGCTGGCCTCATGTTTGAAGGGCCACAACTAAAGAGAGTTTCCAAGGTCTGACCCCCGTCTACTGCCCTGGACCCCGTGCTCAGGAAATGCTGGTTCATGGCAACCCCACTGTAGGCCTGCAAGTCACCCCAACATCCAGATGGACACAGTGCATTTGCTCTGTCATTACTTGACCCTTGAATTCACCAGCTTCTAATCACGTCTGTCTCATCTGCATTTCACTTTAAAAATACGACAATGCTTCCAAGTCTAAAGGCTAATAAGTAATATTTGGCTTACAATGAGACTATTAAATATCATTAAACACTGACATCAGGGTGCACTTCAGTGATACATTTGTCTATTTCCAGAATTTGGCTCTTACACCATGGAAACCAGCTCCTGACCCTGGGTGGGGGTGGCCCAGGCCTGGTCACATGCCCTGTGGGCCAAGGAACTGAGGTTCCCCTCATTTTGGCCTTGTGCTCTGTGATGCTCAAGGGTCAGCGGAGGCCCAGAGGGACAGACTGTGCGTGTCTGGGGGCTAGGAACCCCCTCAAGTGAGCTGCCCCCATGAGACCAGCAGGCCCAGCTGTCCCCCCGGGAGAGCCGAGACCCTGGCACATGGCTGGGGAAGCCCCGGCCAGCTCAGCAGAAAGAACCAGAGTCTGTGAGAAGAGCTGTGAGATTCGGGAAGGCTGGGAGTCAGAAGCACCAGCTTTGCATTGAGCACTTGTCGATGGGGCCATGACCCACTTGTCAGGGTGCTGTGGCTGGCTGGCTGGCTGGCTGATCCCTTTATGACTTCACTCTGCCCCTCTGTGGGGGTCAGCTGGGTGTCGACCCCTCCCTCAGCCTTGCAGGGCTGCAGGAGGCCCAGGCAGGAGAGATGGACCCCAGGGACGCACAGGGAGTCTCGGCCAGCAGGCACCAGCTCCCACGCTTGTCTGACAGGCTGGGTGGGGTCTCACTGTCCTCCGGGGCTTGGTGGGGTCGCACTCCACCACCATAACTCTTGGCCCAGCGGTCACGCTCGGTCTCCCAGCTCAGCGTCCCCTGCTTGAGGAGGCTGGCTCTGACAAGAACTAGGAGCCCACTGCCCTCTCGGGTGCAGCCAGAGGCTAAGGGACTGGCCCAGCCTGCCTCTTCTTGCCTGTGGGTGTGAGGGGGCAAGGCCCAGGGGCCGCGTGGCCCCCATGGTGGCCGGTGCTTCCCTCACGTGTCTGAGTGCCAGGCAGCTGCCGGAAGCATCTGCCACAGATGTCACGGCGGCTGAGCCTGTGGACAGGCTGGGCATCCCCAGGGCTGAAATCTCCGCTGGCTGATTTCTCCCAGTGCCCATTTCCCAGGACCCTGGCGCCCACCTACCTCCGACGTGGGGGGGAGGTCCACAAAACAGCACCACACCCTGCCCCTCACGGACGAACACAGTGCCACGAGTCTTGGCTTTGAAGTCCTCGATGTCTGGAGAGAGAAGGAGACAGGTGAAGAGAGCAGGTGAGAGCCGTGCCCCTTGCGGGGGTGAGATACAAACACGCCAAGTCCCAGGATGAGGAGCAGGTCAGGGGCAGCTTCCTCCGTCCCCTCCCCCTCGGTCCTGGCAAGCACCTGCCCAGTCCAGCCTCCATCAGCACATCTGTCCTCCCGCACAATCCCCCCAGCCTGCGATCCAGCAGGGAGCAACCTGTCCAGCCAGGAGACACGGCCAGCAGGGCCCCTCACACCCATCACAGAGCCTCCTGTCCACTTGGAGACTCACGTTTACCATAAAGCCTCTGTCCACTCAGGGTTTCATGTCCACCTGGAGCCTTATGTCCATTCCGGACTCTCATGTCCATCCTGGACCCTCATGTCCATCTGGACCCTCATGTCTCATAGACCCTCATATCCATCCTGGACTCTCACATCCATTCTGGACCCTCATGTCCATCACAGAGCCTCTTGTCCAGCACCTGCACTGGGGAAAGGCTGATCTAGAGGGGGTCGGGGTGCAGATCTGTGGATTTTCTGTGTCGTTCCCACCTGGGTCTGGGCCAGAGGTCCTGGCATGGAAAGAGCTGGGGAAAGAGTGGAAGGTGCTAAGGAAGGGTCTGCATTTCCATCTCCCCGGCATTGGCTCTCAGGCAGCCTCCAGCCCTCATGGTCAGCTTGTGTCCACCAAGGTGTGGGACCAAGGCATGAGTTTGTACGTTAGTTCCAACCACGTGAGACGACTCAGGGACACGTGACATGCTGGGGGTCACGGAGCATCAACTTGGAACTGAGAGACAGAGAAGCCAAGGCAGTGCCATGACAGGCCCATAAAGCAGCCAGAAGAACCTAGGCCTAAGTTTCGATTCCAGAATTCCTGGAATTGAGCACAGATACTTGGAATTGAGGCATTATTTCCCTGAAGTGAGATAGCCATGGTGAGGTCAACTAAGGGTTACCAATCAGATGCAGGTAGGGAAGCGCCCCCCCACCCCCATATAACCCTTAGTAACTCTTATGCATAAGAGTTATAACCAATCAGCTAAATACAAATAGAGAAAAGACCCTCAGACTGTGGCCAAAAGGGTGGTCCACAGAAAGTACCTGTTATACAATGTTGTGGCATGAAAGCCCCTCACTTTTGAGACTCGGGGCTGCTTGTTCCAAGAAGGCAGCCACTGTGTTGGTGAACCGGATGAGTGCCCTGGCTCAAGCTAGCCAATAAAGACCCTTTGCTTATTGCATTGCAACTTGTCTTCACATGATTCCTCTGGGGAGATCTTGGCCTGGTTTAACAGAACGTCTCTAATGCAGCTTCCAGAGACCAGGCTCTCCCGGGTACCTCTCCTGGGTATCTGTGGGTCTATCTCTACACATCTGCCCTGACTCCAATCTCCCGAACTCTGTGTGGTGCTGGCTAGGAGAAGTTCTGTACCTCCACTGGGCTCTGAGGCTGTGCGGCCAATAACTCCAGTCACTCAAACCACACAGCCATGCTCCAGCTGTGTCCTGAAAACACCCTGAAGAGAGGGGACCTATGCACCAAATGGGAGCAAAAGTCCAGAGGTATGACAGACCTGCCCACACCCAGCACTGGCCCCAGAATGCCGTCTGGACACACAAAGCACCAGGCAGCTTCCCCTTGCTGATGGTGAAATAACCTATAAGGGGTAACGGGAAGATGGAAAGGCACAGATACCGAGAGAAGGAGGAAACTTCAGGTGGGTCCTGAGTGACACCAGCCTCTGTGACCTGCTGTAGGAAGGCTTGAGGCCAACAGTCACATCAATACCCAACGATCTGAAAATGATGTTTGAGTGAAGAATCAATAAACTAAAAGAGAAGTTGATGAAAAAAGTAAAAGAAACCAACCAAATAGAAGTGATAGAACTTAAGAACACAGCATCAAGCCTCAGAAGCAATAAGAAACATCTCTTAGAAGCATAAAACTATAAAGCAAATCAGTACACTCAAAGATGCAGCAAACAAATCCACTAAGAAAGAAGAGGAAATAGGAAAGAGATTGAGAAAAGGGGAAGAAAAAATACGGGAACTTACTGGAAATGCCAAGAGGAACATTTTTAGAATCATAGGAATCCCAGAAGGAGAAGAAAGAGGAAAAGAAGAAAGAGTAGTGGAAGAGTTGATTGGGATAAGTGTAGCCCAACATGAAGGGCACAGTGGGCACCCAGAAGTAGGAGGCTCAGAGTACCGACCTGAGCCAACCCAACACCAAGTCATTCTGAAATAAAAGTGGCAAAAGCAAAATACAGAGGCAGACTCCTTACAGCTGAAAGACAAAAACAGAACTCACACCCAGCTCAGCACGGCAAAGTCATGGTGGATTTCTCTAGAGACACTCTACAAGCAAGAAAGAACAGGGGAGCATATACAAAGTGTTGGATGCAAAGAACTTTGAACCAAGACTCCTCTGTTCAGAGCAGGGGGAATAAAGACATTCTCAAACAAACAGCAGTGGGGACATATTTGGAAACTAACCCAGTCCTGGATTCCCTGTTTATTCCCTGTGTACTCCTTGTGTATTCCCTGTGTGTTCCCTACCTCTGTGCTGTTGCTCCGCCATCCCAGGGGAGGTTCATCTCTGGCTGACATCCTGGGCCTATTCCAGAATGGGCGGCAGAGCCCCCTCTCCCCGATGCATCTCAGCAGCCTCCACACCACACCTGCACTACATTAAAGGCCCACAATACGACACCTAAGGCGCATGGCCCTTCCTTAACAAATCACATTCTTTTCACAGTCATTGTCCCTGCCATGCTGTAAGGATGGGCAGAGAAGGCAGAGAAGAGCCTCAAGTTTAATCTATCAGCATCTTCCAGCGGGTTAACTACAAAGACTCACCCCCGCCCAGCAAGGAATCTAGAAAACAATGGGAAATACATGTAGAAACCCACCAAGCTCGAGGAGTGAAAACATCACTGAAGGTGTGAACAACACCAGCAAACCCTCAGACAGTGGCTCGGGTGGGGGGCACGAGGATGAGGATGGTCAATGAGTTCAAAGAAACCAAAGCACGGGGAGTCAGCCAAGCACCAGAAGTGAGAGCTGAAACAAAAAATCAACTAATCAGAAATGACGGAATTGAAGAACATGGTTGGTGATATAAAAAAAAGTCAGTAGAAGCTCTGAACAGTAAGATAACAGAGGCTGAGAAAAAGATCCTGAAGCTCCAAGATGAGAAGGAGGAACCCACTGGAAAACAGCCAAAGGTGGAAAGTAAACCAAGAAGAAAGAGACAGAACACCAAGAACTGCGGGGTGAGTTCAAGAGGAGCAGAGTCCCTAAAGAACAGAAAGGCAAACATGATGAAGAAACAAGTCAAGGTGTTTAACTGTTAACATCCATAAGAAATTGCCACATCTGAGTGTCATAGGCCACAGATCCGAGAGGCCCAAAGGGCCCCAGTGAAAACAGACACAATTAGAAAAACTCCAATGCACGTTATAACAACAAAATTCAAAGGTAGAGACAAAATATTGAAAGCGGTAATATCAAAAGGGAATTTATGTACAAAGGAAAGTTCAAAAGCTGTATAGCAGATCTGTCAAACAAGACTCTATGATCAGGTCCTTCACCAACTAAAAGACCAAGATGACTGCCCTACAACATCCTGATGGATCTATCACATCTTCCAGAAGGGCAATGGAGAAGATTACTCATGACTTCTACTCAGATCTCTTTGATAGCCACGTCCACCTGCCCACATGCAAAATTCTACAGGATGGATATGTCATTCCCAATATTCTCCCTTCCGAAATCCACCATGCCATCTCGTTGATAAAGAAACGAAGAGCACCTGGCCCAGATAAGGTCAGACCTGAACACCTGAAGAACCTACCATCAGTACTCATCAATACTCTGTCTCAGCTCTTCACACACGACCTGTCTGAATGCAAGGTTCTGTCCCAATTAGCAGGACTGTACTACTGTACAAGAAAGGAGACATCCACCACATTGGCGACTATTGCCCGATCTGCCTATTGTCTGTCATCTACAAGCTGTTCACTTGAGTCATCCTGAATAGGATTGGCAGAACACTAGATGAAGGACAACCATGCGAGCAAGCCGGGTTCCGCAAAGGATTCAACATGATTGACCATATCCACACGATAACCAAGCTCATTGAGGTTTCTTGTGAGTTCAAGATGCTGCTCTGTCTAATGTTCATTGATTTAAAGAAGGCCTTTGATTCTGTTGAGACGGAAGTGGTCATCGAAGCCCTAGCCAATCAGGGCATTCAAACTCAATACATCAGGATCCTCTGTGAGCTGTATTGAGGATTCAATACCAGGATCCCACCATTCTACAAAGAAGTGATCATCCATGTCAAGAGAGGGGTTCAGCAGTGTTATACTATTTCACAGAAACTCTTCAGTGCCACCCTCGAGAATGTCATGTGAAAACTGGAATGGGAAGGAATGGGAGTGACAATTGGCAACTACACCACCTCCGCTTTGCTGATGACATTGTTCTAATAACACCAAACATTAGCCAAGAGGCACAAATGCTGGCCGACTTCAACCATGAGTGTGGAAAGGTCAGACTCCAGCTGAATCTCACGAAGACAGTGTTTATGAGAAACGGTCTCGTTCCTGACACTCCATTCACTCTCAATGGAACAAACATCTCCAAATGCAACAGTTATGTGTACCTAGGTAGAGAATTCTATATGACGAATGACCTGGCACCTGAGTTGTGCAGGAGGAAGAGAGCGGCTTGGAGGAAATAGTATGGAAGAAATAGCTACGAGGACAAAGAACCTCTGGCTCCGGGCACATCTCTTCGATTCCACTGTTCTTCCTGCATTAACACATGCCTAAGAGACCTGGGCCCTATGAAAACAGGATGAGAATGCTATTTCGGTCTTCCAAAGAGGAATCAAAAGAGCTATGTTTGGAATATCACGCTTCACTCAAATGAGAGAAAGAATCCGGAGTCCCGACCTCCATCAACGTTCGAGAATCAAGGATGCT